TGATTGATTACATTGACATTATTAGATCCACTCAATAACTCAGCATACACTCTGAATCTCAAGGCCCTTCACTACATCTACAATGTGTCTTTTGCCATGGAAGCAAACATCTTCCTAAATCCCACACCTTAAGTATGTGGACCTCTCTGAGGGTTGCTATTCTATCATACCATACAACTTCAAACATACCATCCCTAAAACAGCATGAAAGAAGTATGGCCCTCCCTCCACTTGGCACTTGGCAGTGATGGGAGATGGTTGTTTCTGCCTTCAAGTGAGAGCTCCTGTCTTTGATCTCAGCAAAGTGCCTCATTTCTCCCAACCTCCCAAGTCCAACTCGTGGTAATACACTATCTGAGCTGAATTGCTGAGGGAGTTCACTCGTATGTCATACAATATTTTCATCTTGACGGACCTCATATTCCAGCAAGATTACCACCTTTCCTAAGTGTGGTCAGCTCTACTATCTACTGGATTAGGTAGGCACCATGAGGTGCCTACAATGAAGAAGTCACCTGGTGGTGATTCCCGGACATATCCCCGTCCTCAGGCTGCTCATGACTCTGTTGATTTCTAAGTGACAAAACAGTCCATTAGAGAGTCCATCCCTAAATGCTTCCAAATATGAAACAAGCTTTGTATAGACAATAGGAAATGCTCCCCCACATGGGAACTTTTTAAGTGATTTGATCAGTATAGTCTTTTTTTTCCTATTTTCTGGCTCCCACCAACTCCACCTCAAGCCAGCAATCATGGAAGTGTATACTATACCCTTACTTTGTATTAAATTCTTTACATGAGAGGGAGGTTAAAAACCCCTACTGGGTAAGAACAACAAATAAGAACCAGTATTTCCTCAGTGATTCCGGGCTGGCCCTGGCTAAGCTCAGGAGATGAGATGTCTGTGGTTCTACATGTGACTCCAGCTCATCTAAGAGTCACTCAAGAAATGCTGGAAACCTCAAACATGCTGATTGACTGTACTACCAGGATAGCAACTACTCACACAATCATACCAAAGCAAACAGAATGTGGTCCCACTTAAAACCAGAGGCCTTGGAATGATAATCCGTCCTACCCTTTCTCAGATAGCAATGCTGTTGACACAGGTACATACAGATAAGAAATGCTGAGCACAGCACACCACCAGCAGATAGCTCTAGCCACTATAAAAGTTTAGCAACTTCTTCCCGGCAGTAGTAAAGGCAGTTCTTGGGAATGCACACATGTTAGTGCACAAAATGCCCTGTGTGGGCACCAGGAGCTAGCATTTGCATTTATGCTGGAGTAAGTTTTGTCATTTCATTTTCTGGATATGATGATTATGAAAATAAGGATCTAAGCCCTCTGAATATTTTGATCACCTCTTTGGTGACCTTACTTCTGTTTGAAGTAAATATGACGTAATAAATAACAGGTGCTAGGTAGTAATTAGCAATGTAACTTCTGCTCTGGTGGGATGAAGTTTCCCCTAAGACTAGGGATTGTGAGGATGAGGGGAAAGACTTTGTGATGAGGCTCTGATGGCTGTGGCTTTGGCTTTCTAGCCCTTCCTAGTGTTGCATAGAAGACATGTGGAGAGAACATGGTGGGCTGGTGCAGGGAGAGTGTGCTCAACCTTGCATCATCTTCAGAAGTCAACAATGAGATCATGCGCTCTCAAGTTTGATAGGCAGAACATTATAGGTTATGGCCATGACATATGGACACAAACAGCACAGCAATGAAGTGAGGTTCCAAAAGATTTCACCAGCCTCGCTTGCTCACTTGTTCCTTCTTGTTTCCCTAGTGATCAGGACTCTCTCAGGTCTGGTGGTTAAAGATGGCAGCAGGGAGAATGCCATCAGGAATCACATAGCATTTTTTGTGCCAGTAATGGGGCTTGAACTCAGGGCTTGGACTCTGTCCCTTAGCTTTTCACTCAAGGCTGGCACTCTATTACTTGAGCCACACTTCTGATTTTTGGTGATTTATTGGAGATAAGAGTCTCATAGAACTTCCTGCCTGAGTTGGATTTGAACCACGATCCTCATATGTAAGCCTCCTGAATAGTTAGAATTACAGGTGTGAGCTACCAGCATCCAGCTGGCATTCTTGAAATGGGAGGTCTTATGAACAGAAAATCTAGACAAGCACGGTGGACAGAGAACCATAAATGGCAAAGCAGGTCTTCCTGTGACTGGCCACCTGCAGCCTTCTCAGATGAAGTCAAGCAAGTTACCAAAACTTGGAAGAGAATGAGTCACAAAACAGAGTAGATTGCTGAGCTCAGAGAAGCAGGAACGGTCACCTGAGGATACAGCCAGTTGGAGGTCATCTGGCAGGGAAGGGACCAGAAAAACAAATACTTTTCCTCCCTCCCTCTAATCTGCCCTCCTTCGCAAACCCAAATAAAGCCATTGCAGGCCATTGGGGACATGACAGAATCCAGGCAGGTCAGCATTAAAAGCAGACAGAGGGAGGCCTGAGGAGGGAGGGATGGAACTAGCAAGTAACTGAGCAGCATCTGAACATTGTTCTTGAAGACCAAGATAGCTCTTCAGAGACTCATTCAACAAATGTTTAATTTCTACTTTGTGGAGCGCATCATGGGAAGAGCAGAGGATTCTGGGATAGTAGCATCTCCCAGGTACTTGCTGAGCTATAAGCAAATGATATTCCTATGGTATCCCATACCATCCCAGGCTGTGCAGAAGAACAAGTTTTCCCAAGGCCATAACTAGTAAGGAGCAGAAGCCAGATTGGGTGGTGGCTCTGGTCTTTATGCACTGCCCCTTGAAGCAGTGAGAGAGTGAATTTCAGTGAATTTTCAGAGAGAGTGAATTTCCCTTCTTAGAGCAAGGACTAAAATAACATCTAAAATGCTCTGAAGTGGGCAAACATGCAAGGCCATCCGGTGTGAGGCCCTGGGGCCCCACTGAGCCAGACAAGTGGGAAGAGCCACAACACAGCCTGACAGGAACAGGAAGGAATCCTCCCATGGGGATGGAGGGGAGCAGGAGGCTGCAGGTCACATGGATCTGGGCTGCACCCTGAGCTCCTCAGGCAGAGCTGTGGTCTTTTGTTGTGGGAGAGGGCCTGGGCTTACCGGGAATGAAAATGCAGGGTAGGAAGGGCCTGGTAAGGGGAATGAGGTATGATCCTGGGGAAGGGAGCCGGGCACACTTCAGCACTCTTTCTTAAGCATCTCCAGCTGCTGCATTTGGGTTCTGCTCTGAAGTGCAGTGCTGTGTGAGCCAGCCAAGCGATGACATTTACCCATGGTAATCCTTCAGGCAACAAAACATGGCAGCCTGCATGGGCTTCTCACAGTGGGGCTCGTGGTCCACAGCCTCCAGCTGAGACTTCCAGTTGGCTAAGAAAGACAAATCCTCAGGAACTGTAAACTCTTGTCTTCTGACGCACACGCCAGGGTGGCCAATGTGGGCTCCCAGCAAGCTGCCATAGCCAGCTAACTTGGAGCTGGTGAATCACACCTGTAATTCTAGCTCCTCAGGAAGCTGAGATCTGAAGATCTCAGGTTGAAGCCAGCTTGGACAGAAAAAATCTAAGAAAATTGTATCTCCAGCTAACCCAGCAAAAAAGCCAGAAACAAAGGTGTGGCTCAAGTAGGAGAATACCAGCCTTGAGCACAAAAGCTAAGCAGGAGCTTAAGGCCCTGAGTTCAAGTCCCAGTACCAACACTACACTACATAAACACACACACACACACACACACACACACACACACACACAGATCATGGATGGCATGTGGGCAGCTGTCAGGATTTAAGGATGATCTGTGACTCGCAGTGCAGTGGGAGTTTCAAAGCATACTGCATGGACCAGCAGCCACACTGGGCACTTGCTAGAAATGCAAAATCAAATGTCCACCCCAGACTGACCGAGTCAGCAAGTCTGGGGACAGGGCTCCCGCTGGCCCTCCTCACAGCCCTGTGCTCATTCTGAGGCACACTCAAGTTTGAGACCATTCCTCGGTGTGCATGCTCAGGAGCCCTGGCAGCAGAGAAGTCTAAGATGACATCACTAGGGGGTGAGGAAGGGTGGGGGAAGGGCTAGGAGTGATGGGCAGCATGGGCTGTAAGGAGCGGGGTCAAGGGTTCAGGTCACCTCTTGTGAAATTGTGGGGAGACACAAGGACAGGGGTCTTGTGCTGCTGCTCATGTCATGGTGAGCGCACCCCACATTTAGGTGGAGTCAGTGGAACTTGCCTAGATTCTCATGCTTTTACATCCATCATGCTCTTTTTAGTTCATTTTTCTCACAGTAACCTTTGCTACTGTCAAAAGGTCGGTGTTTGCCGGGTGCTGGCGGCTCACACGTGAAATCTAGCTACTCAGGAGGCTGAGATCTGAGGATCACAGTTCAAAGCCAGCCAGGTCAGGAAAGTCCCATGAGACTCTTATCTCCAATTAACTAGCAAAAATCCAAAGTGGAGCAATGGCTCAAGCGGTAGAGTGCCAATCTTGAGCTAAAAAGCTAAGAGGCCTTGAGTTCAAGTCCTAATACAGGCACAAAAAGGAAAAGAGAAAGAGTTGGTGAGAACATGCTGCTTCTACTGGAGGGAGAGCCCAGCAGGGAGAGGTGCTGTGGAGCATGCACTGTTGCACTATGTGGAGTGAAGGAAACTTTGGTGGCCAGGCTAAACCGTGACTCGGAGGAGGCTGTGGAAAGGAGCAAGCAGGTGCACCCAGCAAGGAAGCACTGTCTTCCAGTGAAAGCGCTGGAATCTGCTGTGCAGGAGGAGGGCACAGGGTAGAGAGGCTGAACCCTTAACTGCATTAGGTAGCAGAGAGCATTTTATATCTTAATGAGTTCGCCCTGAGGAAAAACTTTGGAAGATAGAATAGAATGTAGCCAAGTGTTTGGGTTTTATCCTGACGTGAGCTTTGAAGTGTTTTCGGGAGGAAATGGGAAGGGCATGATTCTCCCCACGCTGCTTCTCATTTCCCATGGCACATGAGCATCACCCCAAGAGATCGTTAAAGAAAATAGAGGCCATGCCCACTCTGGAGAAGAGTGGGTCTTGGGCTCCCATCACAGAGAGGCTGAAGCTCTGTGGTGAACACTACCTCTGACTGCCAGAATTCAGGGGGTGGGGACTGAGAATAGATCCAACCAAGAGTATCAAGTGACTTGACTTAATACCAGCATTTTGTTTCCCTTTCAGGAATGTCCAAGTCACAGGTGAGTGTTCTTTTTCTTGCTTGCTTTTCTTTGGTAGTGTTTTCCTCCTAAACTTTCAAAGCTGTGCTTCATTTACTTAACAAACCATGGCTTGTGTGTCTGTGGAAAGGCTATCCATTTCCTGCTCAGACTTGCTATCTCTGTGTGGAATGAGGGATATAAGAGAATGGAAATTGTGGGATTTGATTCTGAATGCATCTGAATGCCTACTGATGGGTCACTAAATATACATTGGCTTCTTTCCATGCCATGGATCTAGTTTTGAATATGGACCATCGAGGTGTGTTTTTGATCCCATGCTATTTTCTTCCCATCAGAGTTGTCTTGGTTACCCCCTCAGCATCTTCTTCATTGTGGTCAATGAGTTCTGTGAAAGATTCTCCTACTATGGAATGAGAGGTAATTTTGTAGGCACTTCTCACCCTTTGGGAAGAGTGTGTGTTAGAAAGCCAGTCCTAACTCTGCATCTCCCTCCTCCTCTCCCTCACCTGCCCTGTGTGACAAGCGCTGCTGGTTCTGTACTTCCGGAACTTCATCGGCTGGGATGACAACCTGTCCACAGCCATCTACCACACGTTCGTGGCCCTGTGCTATCTGACACCAATTCTGGGAGCTCTTATTGCTGACTCGTGGCTGGGAAAGTTCAAGTGAGTGTTTAATGAAACAAGCCAGATATGTAAATGGAAGCTTTGTGCTTTTGGGATGGTGGAGTGGAGAATCAAGAAACAGAAACTTGCCAGGCACTGATGGTTCACACCTGGGCAAGAGAGTCCAGGAGACTCTTATTAACCCCCAGGAAACCAGAAATGGCACTGTTGCTCAACCGCTTGCCTTGAGCTGAAGAGCTCAGGGACAGCAACCAGTCCCAGAGTTCAAGCTCCCTGACTGACAAGAAAGGAAAATGAAATAGTGTCAGAGTTCAGGGCTGGCTGCTGAGGGGCCCCGGCTGTCTGGTGGGCTTGTGTGGCACGAGGTAGCCAGGACAAGCCCTTTCCTAGTCCCACAGGAAGAGGTCCCAGAGCATATCCACTAGGAAATTAACGGAGAAGTAGCAAGGCCGCCAGATTTAACATAGATAGAAACAAGTATACTCACTGTTTCCAAAGAATTCTCTAAAAATTATCAATGGTTCAGGCTGGCTACTTGTTGTTACCAGTTACAAGATTCGTAACTTGTGCTGTCTGAAGCTATACACACTCATTTCTGAAGCTGGGGAAGGAGGGAGGCAAGCCTTTCAAATGGCTGAAAGAGAAAGCAGATCTTCCACCTTCAGATCCCCAGCCCAAACTTTGCTCTACAGTCCCACCCAGTGTCTTTCTGAGAGTGACCAGTTTTACCCACGTTTGAGCAAGAAGTATCTTCCTGACTCGAGCGCGTGTCAGTCTTGAAGGAGGGATGCAGAGGGCTCTTATACTGTTAACTAGGATTCTCTTAACAGAATTCTCTCTAAACAGGACGATCATATGGCTCTCCATTGTCTACACCATCGGGCAAGCAGTGATCTCAGTGAGCTCAATCAGTAACCTCACAGGCCAAAGCCAGGATGGAACCCCTAACAGCCTCCCAGTGCATGTGTGAGTCCGTGTCTCCGTTGTCCCTTCTTCCCAGTGTCTGCTCACTAGGGCATCTGGTTCTCAGGGAGGGGGGAAGCCTGCCCCTCCATGTTGCTCCACATCGGAGGTGCAGGGAAGGATGATGAATGGACTCACCAGCCTCCTAGAGTTGCTTGCTTTGTGACTTGGTGGTCACTGCAAGGGAATTCTCATCCCTCTTCATCTTCCTTTGCTCCCTCAGGCCTTGGTTTTGTTTTGTTTTGTTTTGTTTTTGTCAGTCGTGGAGCTTGAACTCTGGGCCTGGGCGCTGTCCTTCAGCTCTTCAGTTCAAGGTGAGCGCTCTACCACTTGAGCCACAGCACCACTTCCGGTTTTCTAGTGGTTTATTGGAGATAAGAGTCTCACAGACTTTCCTGCCTGGGCTGGCTTTGAACCATGATCCTCAGATCTCAGCCTCCTGAGTAACTAGGATTATAGGCGTGGGCCACCGGTGCTCGGCTAGGCCCTGGTTCTTAAGTAAAGACCTAGAACTTTTAGTTTCTCCCCAGGAACCACTCTTTTGCTTACTTTTCAGTCATTCCATTTCAAAAACATTTGTGTTGGCTTCCTGTCTCAGTTCTTGATGGCCAGTGATGTGGCCACTCCCGGGCAATCTGGCCTAGTGGCCTGGTTGGAAAGATTGGTTTGTGTCCTGTATGTTTCATTTCCTTCATTTCAGAGCTCACCATCCACTGGGCTGGTAAATATGACTGTAAGTCAAGTTCACTACCACAATGCCAATTTCTCTTGACTTGCTGGTGGATCAGAATGTTATCCAGGTGACAGTCCCTGATTCCTTGCCCTCAGTGGCTGGAGGGCCTGGTACCTGTGGGAGACTCAGTCAACAGCTTGGACTGCCAGGGTCTGTGCCCAGTGACCCCACAGAACAGCACGATGATGACCCTAGGCCAATTGTCTTCCTGAGAACATGAGCTTGCTGATGGGCTAGGTTTGGATTCTGGCAGAGGCCAGAATCTGAGCGCCCAGTTGTGTAGTGTCTTATCCCTTGTGCCTCAGTTTCCTTCCTAGTTGTAGTATCTATATCAGCCAGGACTAGTATGGGTTAATCCAGGGTGAGCACCCAGGACACCACCCAGTGAATAGTAGGTGTTCAAGAATCTTAGCTGCCTGATTTTTATTTCATGCAGTTGGTGTTGGAAAATGCCTAAAATCTACCCAAGAGTAAATGATATATAATATTCAACACCATGTTTTTGTGGTCAATAAAATGCTTAGGGTGACCACTTCAAGCACAACTCATATTGAGAGATAAAGAACAAACTGGGTGCAGATGGCTTATGCCTGTAATCCTAGCTAATCAGGAGGCTGAGATCTGAGGATCACAGTTCAAAGCCAGCCCGGGCAGGAAAAGTCTGTGAGACTCTGATCTCCAATAAACCACTTAGAAAACCGAAAGTGGCGCTGTGGCTCAAGTGGTAGAGTGCTAGCCTTGAGCTGAAGAGCTGAGGGTAGCGCCCAGGCCCAGAGTTCAAGCCCTGAGACCGACAAAAAAAAAAAAAAAAAAGATGAAGAACATGAAAACAGAGTTTGAGCCAATTAATGCTGGAAAAATGTTCAGCAAGTGGGATTTTTAAGGAATTCTTTCTTTTTAAAAAATTAATTTTATTGTCAAGGTGATGTACATAGGGGTTACAGTTATATACATAAGGAATTGAATACATTTCTTGTTGAACTTTTTACCCCCTCCCTCATTTTTCTCCCTCTTTCCCTCCTCATCCTCCCCCGCAAGTTGTATGGTTCATTTCCAGCATAGTGTCTTGTGAGTATGGCTGTTGCATTGGTTTCCCCTTTGTCCTTTGTCTCACCATTCTGTGGTTCCCCTTCCCTTCCCTAGTTCAGATAAACGTATATACAATACCCAGGGCACCTAAATCGAACACAGTGACAACAGGAGATAAACGTAAGGAATTCTTTCTCTGTGGAATGTCTGCCCTGATTTTCTCTGCTTCAAAGTATTTGTAGTCTAAAAAACATTGGTAGCCAATAAAATATGGGATAAATGCTTGTAAAATTTGGAGCTTTGTAGTGCCTGACTGAAAATTTAGTAAAAATACAAAATCAGGGTTGAGGGGCTGGGAAGGTGGCTCAGTGGTAGAGCGCTTGCCTTGCATGCCTGAGGCCCTGGGTTCGATTCCTCAGCACCACATAAGCAAAAAGAAAAAAGCCGGAAGTGGCACTGTAGCTCAAGTGGTAGAGTGCTAGCCTTGAGCTGAAGAGCTGAGGGACAGCACCCAGACCCAGAGTTCAGGCCCCACGACCGGACCCCCCCCCCCAAAAAAAAAAATCAGGGTTGATGAATTGTTATGATTTTTTTTCAATTCAACTGGTCAAACACTCATAGATAACCTAGAAAATACACAGAAGTAAATTAAGATAAATAACCTAGTTCCATCACATGGTTTCAACAATAAATCATGGCTATGTTTCATTGTAGTTTTTTTCTACATTATAAGCTAATTAAGGTTGTACTATAGAACCCAAGATTCTGCTTTTCATTGCCACCTTAATGTCATTTATGACTATTGTGAGTCTACCTTGATTATACAAGACACAGTCTTAGGTTTCTTCAAGTAATATTTCCTTGTTTTGTGTGTGTGTGTGTGTGTGTGTGTGTGTGTGTGCACGCGCGCGCGTGCACGCACGCATATATGCATGTGTTCTGGGGACTGAACCCAGCGCCTTGTACATGCTAAGTATATGCTCTACTGCTGAGCTTTACCTGCCCCTTAATTAAAATATCTCATTTGCACATTCTTTCACTGGAAATGATAAAGCTACAAAAGAACTTTGTTCAGATTTTAAGGTAATTCTTTCCTTTCCCTAGATGGCACAATTTTAGACAAAGGTAGAGATACAATGTTCCATGGAGTTCAAGTTTTCATTCCACTCTTAGACTGCATCCCTGTGATCTATCCCTATAGAAAAATTCAGCCTCTTCCTAGGTTGAACCCTGTACCTGGTCCTCTAAGGGCAGTTGGGAGGAGGCTCCCACTTCTACAGACCTTTCGCCTTGGCCCTAACCCATACCTTTCCCCAGGGCACTGTCCATGATCGGCCTGGCCCTGATAGCACTTGGTACCGGAGGAATCAAGCCCTGCGTGTCAGCATTTGGTGGTGATCAGTTTGAAGAGGGCCAGGTAAGAGCATGCCCCTCCACAGCATCCAAACCAGTGAATGATAGCCCCGGGAACCAATGGCCCTGATGCTAAGTCTGTTCTCCATCCCATTCTTCTTCAGTAAGATACTGTCCCATGCTAGTGGCTCACACCTGTAATCCTAGCTACTCAGAAGACTAAGATCATGGTTTAAAGCCAGCCTGGGAAGAAAAATCTGAAAGATTCTTATTTTAAATTAACCACTGAAAATGGCGGTTAATTTAAAGTGGAGGTGTGGCTTAAGTGGTAGAGTGTAGGCATAAGCCAAAAATGCAAGGCCCTGAGTTCAAGCTCCATCATTGGCACCAGGAGGAAGAAGAAGAGAAGGAAAAGGAGAAAGAGAGGAGGAGAGGAGGAGATCACATGTGTGGTCAGATATAAGCTAATGAGGTCATCAATGGGGTCAGATATGAGCTGAGGCATATCTGGTGCACAGGTCAGCTACTTCATTGATGACTTACAGATAGATAAAGTCTAACTTGTCCTTTCTGTGACAGGAAAAACAAAGGAACAGATTTTTCTCCATTTTTTACTTGGCTATTAATGCTGGAAGTTTGCTTTCTACGATCATCACTCCCATACTCAGAGGTAAGGAATATCTGGATGAGACATTTATTCTCCTTCTTTTAATTAGGAGGAGGAAAGTCAGATTTTAAAAAAGAAAAGCTACTTTTGTCTTGTTGGTTTTGTTTAGACCTATCTTTAGTTTAACTGTCAGATGTGCAGCTAATCATATCTGATACCTTACTCTAATAACCACTGAAGAAGCTAACACATCCTTACCACAGGCATCAATTTTCCAGTTTTTTACTAATGCAAAGTCTCCAGATAGGCATCCAGAAGTGTATCAGGAAGAATGTCTAGTGAGCCATCATGTACAATCAGCCTTCAAGCTCAGCTCCTAGTGATGGCTCTGTAAGTTGGGAAGACCTTAGCAGACAAAATTTTGTTCTTTGATTTCTCATCATCTCAAGTATTTCTTAAAGAAAAGCCTTGACACAGAGACTGAGAACAGAATCAAATAGCACTATCAGCAACTCTCTTTGTGGTTACTTGAGTGTATGGACAGTTTGTGTATTTCTGATGCTGAAGGGAATAAGTGGTATTATTTGGAACAAAAACATGGGGCCTCCAGTTGAATCAGATGAAATGATGAGACAGAATATTTTTAGAAATGCATGTGTTTCTGCACATGAATGATAGACACTTAACCAACGTATCAAGTTGGTTTTTAAGCAAATTTAAAGTTTTCTTGAGTTACAGTCACTCCCCTTTCCCACGTCAGGTTTGTGGGGTATGGTTACTATGCATGTCTGCAGTATAGACTTTGTTAAAAGATGACATTAAAGTCTTTGTCTGGGGTATGGTTACTATGCATGTCTGCAGTATAGACTATGTTAAAAGATGACATTAAAGTCATGACTCTTATTAACACAAGGCGAACGTGTAACAAACATTCACTAGTAATTAGTGAAAGAAGAATTTTATCAACAGAGTTTTATTATTCTTTAATAATACTAAGTTTTGAACTCAGGATCCCAGTCTTGCTAGGCATGTGCTCTACCATTTGACTCCTGCTTCCAGCCCTTTTTGCTTTAGTTATTTCTCAGATAGAATCTTCTACTTTTGTTAGGGTCAGTCTCAGACATGATCCTCCTACCCCTCCCTACCATGTAGCTAGAACTACAGACATATACCATCATGCCCATCTTGTTTTTGAGCTAGGGTCTTGCTACCTTTTTGCTGAGACTGGCCTTGAACCACAGTCCTCCTTTCTCTGCCTCCCAAGCAGTGAGGACTATAAACATCAGTTATTGTTACTGGTAATGCAAAACATTTTCATGACTATCGCTTTTCTATCAACTAACTTCTTTCCCTACATAATTGTGAAATAGCTAGTCAGACAAAGTCAAAATCTTTGTAGGATCAGATCATTTTGGGGGGCTTCAACATCCCACTGAAAAGGTTTGCAGTAATCTCTGTTGCATAAATATGTTTTTGAACCAACCCCAGGATTTCAGCACTAAAGTAGCTTTCAGTAAGAAGGTAGCAAATTATCACAGAGCAAATGCAGAAACCCAGACAAGACCATTCATTTAAAAATGACTGATTTGTCCCTACAAAGATAGCGGCCATGAGATATGAGAGAGATAAAATGGTCCCCAAAGCCTAATAAATAACAATCTGGCCTTTCCCAGAAAAACTTCAACCTCTGCCCTAGGTAATATCTAAATGTCACCTAATACCATAAATGTAGGGTCATACAATATCGACTTTCCAGTATAGTTTTGCTTTAACTGGGTTCCATGCATTTGAATTACTATATCCATTTCCAGCCTCACCTTGGAAAATCCACAGAAATAGGAGCCCACTGGCTCTGTGGGTGACCAGTGTCACACATGTAGGAGCTGAGATTACAATCTATTGTCTCCTACAATGCAGCAGTGTTCAGCTGTTAAGGGATAAGTCTAAAAAGTTACATAAAAACAAGTTCTGCTCACCAGTGAGGAACACAATGATATTTTAATCTTGTCATTTCTTTCTAGTTCAACAATGTGGAACCCAAACTTCTTGTTACCCACTGGCCTTTGGAGTTCCTGCTGCTCTCATGGCTGTATCCCTGAGTAAGTAAAAATCAGTTGAATTAGCTGGGCATCAGCGACTCACGCCTGTAATTCTAGCTACTCAGGAGACTAAAATTGTGATTTGATGCCAGCCAGGGCAGGAAAGTTATCTAGAATTAACCACCAAAACTCCAAAAATGGAGATGTGGCTTAAGTGGTAGAGCATCAGCCTGGAGCAAAAAAGCTAAGCAAAAGTACTGAGTTCAAGCCCCAGCACCAACACACACACACACACACACACACACAGTAGTAGGTCAAAGGAAATGTATATTCAACCCATTGGACATCTCTACTATCCATGTTTGGGTGGAGGATGGTGGGCATTGGGCAAAAATATAAATGAATGCCTCTCATCCAGGAGGGATGCCTTAGAGTTAGCACTTGTCAAAAATCTCAGACCTGCCAGGCACCAGTAACTCATGCCTGTAATCCTAGATACTCAGGAGGCTGAGATCTGAGGATCATGGTTCAAAGCCAACCAGGGCAAGAAAGTCCATGAAACTCTTACCTGCAATTAATCACTCAGAAAACCAAAAGTGGCACTGTGGTTCAAGTGGTAGAGTATTCACCTTGAGCTGAAGAGCTCAGGGACAGCGCCCAGGCCCAGAGTTCAAGCCCCACAACTGACAAAAAAGAGAAAGAAGCCGGGTGCTGGTGGCTCACGCCTGTAATCCTAGCTACTCAGGAGGCTGAGATCTGAGGATCACGGTTCAAAGCCAGCCCGGGTAGGAGAGACCGTGAGACTCCTATCTCCAATAAAAAAAAAAAAAAAAAAAAAAAAACACCAGAAAACCGGAAGTGGCACTGTAGCTCAAGTGGTAGAGCGCTAGCCTTGAGCTGAAGAGCTGAGGGACAGCGCCCAGGCCCAGAGTTCAAGCCCCATGACCGACAAAAAAAAAAAAAAAAAGAAAGGGGAAAAAAATCTCAGGCCTGCTAGACACTGATGGCCCATGTCTGTAATCCTAGCGACTCAGGAGGCTCTAAGGATCACAGTTCAAAGCCTGCCAAATGGGAAAGTTCACGAGATTCTATCTCCAGTAAACTACCAAAAGGACAGAAATGAAGCTATGGCTCAAATGGTAGAGTGCTAACCTTATAGCAAAAGAAGTTCAGGGACATGCCCAGGCCCTGTGTCTGAGCCCCATGACCAACAGAGAGAGAGAGAGAGAGAAAGAGAGAGAGGGAGGGAGGGAGGGAGGGAGGGGGACAGGGGGAGGGGGAAGGAGCGAGGGAGGAGGGAAGGAAGGAAGGAAGGAAGGAAGGAAGGAAGGAAGGAAGGAAGGAAGGAAGGAAGGAAGGAAGGAAGGCAGGCAGGCAGGCAGGCAGGCAGGCACTCCATGGCAAAATAGTCTCATTGAAGAGCTGCTTCATTAATTGTAGCCACATTTCTGTACTGTGCCATAGAAGAATTCTGCCACATAGGAGTAAAGTTTCAACAGACTAATTACGTTTCTCTGAACATGGAAAAGGAGAAAAATGATGAGAAGGAAATTTTTCTCAACATTGCCTCCCAGAACATTAGAGCTATGTTTATTGTCTTTGTGGAGGGTAGAGATCCTTATATCTTGGGGCTGGGAAGGTGGCTCAGTGGTAGAGTGCTTGCCTTGCATGCATGAGACCCTGGGTTCGATTACACAGCACCATATAAGCAAAAAGAAAAAAGCCGGAAGTGGTGCTGTGGCTCAAGTAGTAGAGCGCTAGCCTTGAGCTGAAGAGCTGAGGGACAGTGCCCAGGCCCAGAGTTCAGGCCCCACGACCGGAACCAAAAAAAAAAAAGAGATCCTTATATCTTTTGTCTATCTGTCAACAAATAGAACTGGGGCTAAAACAGCTGTGTGAGGTGGCTGGAGCTGCCTTGGGGTCTGAGAAGCTGATGGGAGGTACCAGGCATTTGTGTTTGTATATCAGAACAAGATATGACACTGTCTGGGGTCAAAAGAGCTTCCTCTCCTATAATAAAGGATCCAGTTCTTCCTTAAATTAGTCACTTACTTCTAAACAAGATAATAACTGAAATAAAAGCCATCTCATGGGGTGCAGGTAGGCCTGGCAATCTCCATGTTAACACATCTCCTTTTCCCTGCACAGTTGTATTTGTCATTGGCAGTAAGCTGTACAAGAAATTTCAGCCACAAGGGAACATAATGGGAAAAGTAGTCAAGTGTATTGGCGTGAGTATTTCTCTGGCTGTCTTTCAGTGATGTGGAATCAATCCAAGGCCTCTTGCTTCCTTCACATGAAGATGCAATGGAGCTTTGACTTTTCTTTAAACATATTTTTAATATTTTTACCCATTTTTGTAAATTTCAAGTTAAGGAACCAATTTCTTATAAAATTCGCCAGATAGAAAAATAAACAAATGGGGCCGGGCGCTGGTGGCTCACGCCTGTAATCCTAGCTACTCAGGAGGCTGAGATCTGAGGATCACGGTTCAAAGCCAGCCCGAGCAAGAAAGACTGTGAGACTCCTATCTCCAATAAACCACCAGAAAACCGGAAGTGGCGCTGTGGCTCAAGTGGTAGAGTGCTCGCCTTGAGCTGAAGAGCTGCGGGACAGTGCCCAGGCCAAGAGTTCAAGCCCCACAACCGACAAAAAAAAAAGAAAGAAAAAAAAAAAGAAAAATAAACAAATGGAGAAAATGATCTTTTTTTAAAAAAGGTGACATCAATCGAGATGCCTTGTATTCAAAAACTGATTTGTTGAATGGTATGTAACTCCTTTATACAACTACTTAATGATTTTTTTTTTTTTTGCTTATGTGGTGCTGAGGAAGGCCAGGGCCTCAGGCATGCAAGGCAAGCGCTCTACCACTAAGCCACCTTCCCAGCCCCTTAATGATATTTTTTTAACTTCAATTTAAAATAATAAATTAATTTTTAAAGTACCCAAATGGAACTCAAGAATAAATAAAAAGGAAGGAATAGATCTGGCTTTTGAAGCATGTGAAAGAAAAACAAATCAAAGTGACTCCTCATTTATCCAAATGGCAAGCAAGGCCTGATGCTTTTCAGGGAGCAGTGACACAGAAATAGGGAGAGTTGGTTGAGTTTGGTGGTGAGAATCATGGGGTCTCAAGCCCTGGGAGGTGGGGTCCACTGGGCCACATATATTTTCTTATAAGTGTATTTATGTGAGCCGGGCGTTGGTGGCTCACGGCTATAATCCTAGCTACTCAGGAGGCTGAGATCTGAGGATCGCGGTTCAAAGCCAGCCCGGGCAGGAAAGAAAATGAGACTCCTATCTCCAATAAACCACCAGAAAACCGGAAGTGGCGCTGTGGCTCAAGTGGTAGAGCGCTCGCCTTGAGCTGAAGAGCTGCGGGACAGCGCCCAGGCCCAGAGTTCAAGCCCCACGACCAACAACAACAACAAAAAAAGTGTATTTATGTGTAGTGGACTCTTATACTACTGTTTTTAGAACTGATACTTAATTCAGTTATTAGAGAGATATTAGAGATGTTTGCAGCAGCCTGCTCTGTAGATTGAATCTATCAAACATGAACTTCGTAAACTTTAAATACAGATTGTGTATTTCTGATTTTAAAAATTGGCAACTGAAAAAAAATTAGCAACCAAATCAGTGTATACCACAAATGGAATTAATCCATGGCTTTTGAAGAATTAACGTGAAAAAAGAATATAAAAAGCTGGGCGCTGGTGGCTCACACCTGTACCCCTAACTACTCAGGAGGCTGAGATCTGAGGATCACAGTTCAAAGCCAGCCCTGACAGGAAAGTCCCTGAGACTCTTTTTTTTTTTTTTTTTGGTCCGGTCGTGGGGCCTGAACTCTGGGCCTAGGCACTGTCCCTCAGCTCTTCAGCTCAAGGCTAGCGCTCTACCACTTGAGCCACAGCGTCACTTCTGGCTTTTTTCTTTTTGCTTATGTGGTGCTGAGTAATCGAACCCAGGGCCTCAGGCATGCAAGGCAAGCACTCTACCACTGAGCCACCTTCCCAGCCCCCATTTTTACATTCTTAAAAACATAAACTATGCCTGGCAGGCCTGGTGGCTCACACCTGTAATCCTAGCTATTCAAGAGGCTGAGATCTGAGGACCAATGTTTGGAGCCAGCCCACAGCAGACAAATCTGGCCAAAGGCAGAAATGAAAGTATGGTTAAGTAGTACAGCACTGGCCATGAGCAAAAACTGAGGAAGAGGCCCTGAGTTCAAGTCCTAGTACTAGGACCACAAAATAAAATAAACCACACTGCACAGTGGTTCAAGATAGAGACACTTCAGACACTGCCTAGCATTCCAGAGCTCCTGGGTTGGTTCAGTCCTCAGACTACAAAAACAAAGTAATCTTAAATTTCAAATTAGTTTAATAAATATTAAAATCATATGTAAGGAATATTGGGCTAAATACATATATTTAAAATGACTTTTACCCATTCCACTTTTCTTGGTTAATTCCATCACTAAGAAACCTAAATGGTAAATGTGCCTTGAGTTATATGGCTACTGAGACCCGATTCTCTAGAGGAGCTGGAGAATGTGACTCAGTTTCCTCAAACTGAATAAGAAAAGGATTTGAAAGAAATGTATATCAGCTAAGCATTTCAGCACCTGGAAAATTTACTTTTCACATACATTTTTCATTGAAACCCATGAATGGAAATGGGTTTTCCTAATGAAGTACAAGTCTGTTTTGAAATTTGATTTTTCTTCTGTCCTTCAGTTTGCCATCAAAAATAGGTTTAGACATCGGAGTAAGGAGTTTCCCAAGAGGGAGCACTGGCTGGACTGGGCCAAAGAGAAATACACCGTGAGTAACCCTGCTGGCTACCGTGGAACCATTCCATTCCATTATCTACCCTTTCCTGAACCTTCCGGTGGTGGGCAGGCAAAATCGAGATACAGAGTATCCAACCACAGAGGCCAAATGATCAACTGTGTTGTCCTGGCCCTTGTTAGCTTGTTAAATAAGATGACGTGTGAGCGGTTTTATATGCACACACATAAACACAAACATATAGATACCTATGTGTACATAGTATAGACCTATATATACATACATGCATATATACATAGATATACATACATATATACATATATATGCACATATATATATATATATATATATATAATGAGATCTGATGGGTATAATTTATCTGGAAGCAACATTACTGTGTTAGGGTGTTTGGTATAATCTGCCATCAGTTTTGTGTTAACCATGATTACAAAACTTTAGTTTAACTCTAGAAGAGGTAAGGGGTAGATGGTGTCCAAAGTGGGATTTACAAGTAGTGGAATTTTCATTGCATACTTACCTCCTAAGTAGATGTTTCGTTTATATTTCAATTGCTTAGACATTTCTCTGGAACAATGAGTCACCTTACAGTTTGGCTCTAGGTGCAAACCCCCAGCCCTGTGAGTGACTCCAAGGGCTGATGACTTCTTCCTTCCTCCCTACAGTATCAGCTTATCTCTCAAATTAAGATGGTTACCAAGGTGATGTTCCTGTACATCCCACTCCCCATGTTCTGGGCCTTGTTTGACCAGCAGGTAATGTGTCTGTTCATCTTCCTTTAGCAAATGTCTTTGGGATATTACCATGTACTGAACCACACTTAGCCTTCAATTCCCAAGAAGTTTCTATTTCTCTTTTGTCTTTCACTGTTTAAATTGTTAGATCACATTGAATTTATTGAGTAAAAATAATAATAATCCCAGAAGCTTCTGTGAACATTTCAGATCCATGATGAAAATAAGGTAGAGTCAAGTAAGAGCTTCTCTGGGGAGCTACCATCAGGGCCTCTAGCTCTCTCGCTGATCTGAACTGACTGCACAGATCCTGTTTTCCAACTGACCCAGCATGGTGAAAAGATTGTTGTCTTTGATGGGATCATGGGGTAGTTGAACTGAGAGGGCTTTAATACCTTGCACTTTATTCATTGATTAGTTGACAGTGCTGAGGTTGGAACTCAGGACCTTATATTTGCTGGCCAGTGCTCTACTACTTGAGCCACTCCCCTGCCCTTTTTTTTTTTTTGCTCCAGTTATCTTTTTAGAGAGAGGCTCACCTTTTCTCTCAGGCTGCCCTCCAAATGCAATCCTTCCAATCTCCATTTCCAAATGTAGTTAGATTATAGGACAGCCCTACCTAGCTGCTCCGTATCTCCCACTTTAAACTGGGATGATTTAGTCTAGAACTTTCCTCGAGGGTGTGACATAGCCCTTCCCCCTAAGAGCTTCATTCTTTCTGTCACAGGTATAGGAGATATAGTAGAACCTTGTGCAGTGATGTTTGACAGCTCCAGGTGTGGTGATGAGTAGAAAAAGCCATAAGCTACTCTTTTAGAAACTGAAGTTTAAAAAAGTTGTGACTGTGTGTGTTTAGTGCACAGGGGGATTCTTGCAAGGGTCTGAACTTCCCTTGGGGAAAATGTGAGTGTGCACATTAGTCTTACTTATAACTATGAGATTATGACTAGCTTTATGAAGACCCAGGTCACGGTCTTCCTGTTGGACAAGAGCCTGCTGGAATCAAGCTGGCACTGGAAATAAACTCAGTGTCAAGTAGCTGGTGACAGGGGTGAAAGACCATCTGAATAAGTCATAATCACCTTGAAGCTGTGAGGATCAAATTAGGGATTGTGTAGAAAGTGCTCAGCGATGGGCATACAGTAAGAACTGCAAGAGGGCAGATCCCTACCCTTCTGTGATGCCCTCTTAGACAACACACCCCATCTTCATGAACAGCATCATATGGAGTTCCACCCAGACCAGTACTTTGTGCCCCACCACCAACAGGGGCCCAGTTCTGTATATTGTGTCTCCTGGTAGAACAGAAATGCAACCTATTGCCTTCTGCCTACTACTATAATGGACCAGGAGGCCAACTTAATGAAGACAACTTTATGTATTTAATTAGTTCATTAGTGCTGGCACTGGGGCTTGAACTTACAGCTCTGCACTCTTGCTTGACTTTTTCATTCAAGGCCAGCACTCTACCAGTTGAGCCTTATCTCTGCTTTTAGCTTGCTTCTTCTTTTCTGGTTAATTGGAGATAAGAGTCTTATGGATTTTTTTGACCAGGCTAGCTTCAAACCAAGATCCCCGGATCTCCGCCTCCTATGTGTAGCTAGGATTACAGGCGTGAGCCCTATCACCTGCTAAAGCAACTTTAAGTCCCATAGCACTTCGGCCCTCGATCCTAATTTAGAAGAGAGCCCACTGTGGTTTGGGAGACTTTAAAAGCCGTACTCCCCAATGATGCGGTAAATGTGTCTGTTTTTAAGGGCTCCAGGTGGACGCTGCAAGCAACCACTATGACTGGGAGAATTGTGAGTGTGGGGTATCTTGTTATTTACCTCCTCTGGCCTCTGCTTCTTTATTTTATGCCTTTGTCCACTTTCTCCTTCTCTTTTGTGAGATTTTCCCCCCTCGTCTCTTCCAGGGAAGTATTGAAATCCAGCCGGATCAGATGCAGGTAGGAAGAAGAATTGAAGTCTCTTTCCAGATCTCCTCACAGGGCTGGGAAGGTGGCTCAGTGGTAGAGCGCTTGCCTTGCATGCATGAGGCCCTGGGTTCGATTCCTCAGCACCACATAAGCAAAAAGAAAAAAGCCAGAAATGGCGCTGTGGCTCAAGTGGTAGAGCGCTAGCCTTGAGCTGAAGTGCTGAGGGACAGCGCCCAGGCCCAGAGTTCAGGCCCCACAACTGGACCAAAAACAAAAACCAAAACCAGATCTCCTCACAGAACCCAGCTTCACCCCTTCTCTCTGCCCCACCCACAGACTGTGAACGCCATCCTCATCGTGATCATGGTCCCCATCATGGATGCCGTAGTGTACCCTCTCATTGCCAAGTGTGGCTTCAATTTCACGTAAGTGCTGGTTGGCGTGGGGTGGTGGAGGCCCAGTTGGTCTATGGCATGAAGGGGCTGTATTGGGTCTGCTGTGGCCCCCACGACCCCACCTTGAAGGTGAGGGTTTCCAAAGAATTGGATTAAAGAGATGTTTGCAGGCTGATGTTTCTAAAAATATCCTTTAGAATAAAAGGGCTTGAGTCCTCACCAGTGGCTCACACCTATTAATCTAAGCTATACAGGAGGCTCAGATCTGAGGATCGCAGTCTGAAACCAGCCCAGGCTGACAAATCTGAGAGAGTCTTATCTCTGTTTAACCAACAAAATGCTCAGAAATGTGACTCCATTGGTAGAGTACCAGCCTTGAGTGGAAAAAGAAAAGTGAGATTAAAAGGCCCTAAGTTCAATACTGTGCCAATACTAGCACAAAAAAAGTCAAACTATTAATTATTAATTTATTAAGTAAAAAAATTCCAAAGCAGTCCAAATGCTGATGTCTCATGCCTATAATCCTAGTACTTGGGAGACTGAAATCTGAGGATCATAGTTCAAAGTCAGCCTGGACAGGAAAGTCTGTGAGACTCTTATCTCCAATTAATCACCAAAAAGCAGTAAGTGAAGGTATGACTCAAGTAGTAGAGCTCTATCCTTGAGTAAAAACTTAAGGACAATGTCAGGTCCTGAGTTCAAGCCCCAGGACTAGCACAAAAATAAGTTAATAAATAAATAAATAAATTGGGCTGGTAAACCTAAGTGGGAGAATGCTTGCTTAGCAAACACAAGGTCCCCAATTCAAATTGAGGACTGCCATCAATAAATAAGTGAATAAATGAACTATGAAGGGCAGCCTGAACGAATGGTTGGATGGCTGAATGGTTGCCTAGTCAAGGTTCTAGAAATTGGGTGTAAAGGTACACATGAGAAGCTGTATGCCATTGCCCTTCTTGCCTGCATTCACAGTCACAAAGGACAGAGAGGATTGGGGGCACACAGGTCTTTGTCCATGGGTTGGTTTTGTTTGTCTGGGGGGACACGGGGAGAGGCGGTGTGCTTTGGGACTTGTGTGCCTGAGGGCTGAGGTTCACTTTCTTGTCCCCATCAGCTCTCTAAAAAAGATGACCGTTGGGATGTTCCTGGCTTCCATGGCCTTTGTGGTGGCTGCAATTGTGCAGGTGGAAATTGATGTGAGTTTCCCCAGTCTCCCATGTCCCTCGCTGGTGGGTTGAAGGGGAGCAGTCAGAATGAGAGGATCAGAGGAGGCCAGGGCCCGGCCCTACACACAGTGTGAGGTCTGGAGCTATGGGCAGTAGGAGGCCAAGGGAGCTGTCCCGGAGCTTTTGTGCTCAAAGCCAGACCGTAGCTCCACTTCTGACTTTTTGGTAGTGAATCAGAGATAAGAGTCTCAGGGACTTTCCTTCCCTTGATCCTCAGATCTCAGTCTCCTGAGTAGCTAGAATTATAGGCATGAGCAACCAGACCTGGCTTCTTCCTTTTTGAGGACTGAAAACTATTCCATTGTATGTGGACACCTTTTGCTTTTCGACTCACCTGTTGATGGACACCTGAATCCCTACCCCTACCCCACCACCCCCGGTCTGGCGGATAAAGCCCAGCTGGTTCACTCTCTCCTGCGCACACCTCACTTTGTGGAAAATGAATTGTGGAACACACCTGGGCTCCTCCAACAACACTGGGTCTGTACGTGCAGCATAAAGACAGGAAGTTCTGAGCACCAGTGTGGAGACACCGGAAGTGACGTAGTTGTGAGAGGAAGAAGATCAGGGCTCCATTCGCAGGATGGGGGAAGCAAGAAGCAGGGAGAGCAGACCTTAGGTCCCCAACCAAGAGCGACATCCGTGGAGGCCATGGTTCCTCCAGTCGCTCTGATCCTGGGCTTCATAACCTGGTCTCCTCTGGCCCGAGGTGGCTCGATATGGCCCTAAGTGGCCTGTTCCCTATTATTCCATGCTCTGTATGAACACCTTTTCTGGTGGTCACATGACATGAGCTCAGAAGCCATGCTGGGCAATGGGCCTGTCTCTGCCAGCTCAGCTGTGGATGGCTGGAGGAAAACCAACTCTAATGCAAGGTTGACCGTGACCATCAGAGTCACACTGAAACCCTCACTGTCAAAGGTCTTTTCTTTCCTTCAGAAAACTCTTCCAGTCTTCCCCGGAGCTAATCAAGTCCAAATTAAAGTCTTGAATATAGGAAATGATAACATGAATGTATATTTCCCTGGAGAGACAGTGACACTGGGCCAATTCTCTCAAGTAAGTGAAAGATGATCTGAATGCCTTTTTTATCTGGGGACCTTCTCATCAGATTGTTATCTACTGCTTCCCATGTAGCTGGGATCACAGACACATACCACCATGCCTGGTTTACTGATTGAGATGGGGATCCTTTTGCCTGGGCTGGCCTTAAACCACAATCCTCCCAATCTCAGCCTCCAAAGTAGCTAAGGTTATAGGCCTGATCTGTAGTGCCTGTCCCAGTATTTTTTTTTGTCAGTCGTGTGGCTTGAACTCTGTCCCTCAGCTCTTCAGCTCAAGGCTAGTGCTCTACCACTTGAGCCACAGCACCATTTCTAGTTTTCTGAGTAGTTTATTGGAGATAGAGAGTCTCACAAACTTTTCCTGCCCTGGCTGGCTTTGAACTGTGATCCTCAGATCTCAGCCTCCTGAGTAGCTAGGATTATAGGCCTGAGCCACCGGCGCCTAGCTCCAGCATTTATTTTCAAACAGCAAAATAAAATTAAAATGATTGATGAAAAGTAGAATTCCTGTGACCATATGAAAACAAATGTATGACGGAGTCCATGAGGGCAGGTAGAGGCTAAGACAAATAACCACCATCTTCCCACAAGGCATTTTTGATGGGGATAGAGTTGAATACAAAACTTGGAATGGCAATAACATACCATTACAATGGTAACCGTATGAACAAGACTGGGATTAACCGTGCTTCTTTTCCCCATGTATAGACAAATGAATTTAGGACTTTCGAAGCAGACCAACTCACAAGCATAAACATTTCTACTGGGTCACCTGTCACTGAAGTAGTGCATAAGTTTGAGCCAGGCCACCGCCACACCCTTCTCGTGTGGGCCCCCAATCACTACCGTGTGGTAAGTAGCTGACACCCCCAGCTCATAGATGCCAACTGGGAGACACAACTTTTGTTTGTTTGTTTTTTCTTTCGTTTGTTCATTTAGTTCGTCATGGGGCTTGAACTCCTGAGTTTTTTCACTCGAGGCTAGTGCTCTACCACTTTGAGCCACAGCGCCACTTCCAGTTTTCTGGTGATTAATTAGAGATAAGAGTCTCATGGAGGGGCTGGGAAGTTGGCTCAGTGGTAAAACGCTTGCCTTGCATGTCTGAGGCCCTGGGTTCGATTCCTCAGCACCATGTAAGAAAAAAGAAAAAAGCCGGAAGTGGCACTGTGGCTCAAGTGGTAGAGCACTAGCCTTGAGCTGAAGAGCTGAGGGACAGTGCCCAGGCCCAGAGTTCAGACCCCATGACGGGACCCAAAAAAAAAAAAAAGAATCTCATGGATTTTCTTGCCCAGGCAAGCTTTGAAGCCCAATCCTCAGATCTTAGCCTCCTCAGTAACAAAGATTACAGCCATGAGTCACCGGTACCCTGCAACACAGCTTCTAATTGGTATGACTTTGTTTTCTATCTTTGTCTTATGAGATCAGATAATCCTCCATCCTCCATTTCTCCTCTCTTCAGGCACACAGGTCATTTGACTTGCAGTGAAAGTTTAGTGGATAAAAAGAGTTAACATGACTTTTAAAAAAATTTTTTAATTAAAAAAATGCTTTAAAGCACTGGGTATAGTATAATGTGCATAAGTCACATAGAATACTTACATATTCTCAGGACTCTGTGGTAAAGTTTTTTTTTAAATACCTTTTTTTTTTTTTTGGTCGGTCATGGGGCTTGAACTCTGGGCCTGAACGCTGTCCTTCAACTCTTCAGCTCAAGGCAAGCACTCTACTGCTTGAGCCACAGCACCACTTCTGGTTTTCAAGTGATTTTTTGGAGATAAGAGTCTCACGGACTTTCCTGCCCGGGCTGGCTTTGAACCACGATCCTCAGATCTCAGCATCCTGAGTAGCTAGGATTACAGGCATGAGCCACTGGTGCCCATCTAAAAAGTATCTTTACTGGTACTAATTTTTTAATTTACATTGAATTAGGTCAGTCTCTGAAAAAATACCAAGGTATGTTAGGTATAACCAATCACACACATATGAAATGCTCAATGACAAAACACATGAAGAAGCTATGCAGATGGCATCCAATGAAAAGAAGGCCCTGCAGGATTCCATGGGGGGGGGGGGATTTGAGTGAGCCTCTACAAAATCACAGCATGCAGCCGGCACCGGTGGCTCACGCCTATAATCCTAGCTACTCAGGAGGCTGAGATCTGAGGATCGCAGTTCAAAGCCAGCCTGGGCAGGAAAGTCTGTGAGACTCTTATCTCCAATAAACCACTCAGAAAACTGGAAGTGATGCTGTGGCTCAGGTAGTAGAGGGCTTGCCTTGAGCTGAAGAGCTGAGGGACAGCGCCCAGGCCCAGAGTTCAGGCCCCATGACCGGGCCCCCCTCCCCCCCAAAAAAAAGAATAATATGCCCCAGCAACTGAAAACAAGTCTTGCAATAACCCTCTCCTTAAGCAAGTGACCAACAAAATCAGTTGCATGCTGTGATTTTTTTTTTTTTTTTTATTGGTCCGGTCATGGGGCCTGAACTCTGGGCCTGGGCGCTGTCCCTCAGCTCTTCAGCTCAAGGCTAGCGCTCTACCACTTGAGCCACAGCACCACTTCCGGCTTTTTTCTTTTTGCTTATGTGGTGCTGAGGAATCGAACCCAGGGCCTCAGGCATGGAAGGCAAGCGCTCTACCACTGAGCCACCTTCCCAGCCCCGGATTCTTAGGAATCACTGGCAATCGAGGATCAAAATTACTAGAAAACCAGGCACTGTGCCTCATGCCTATAATCCTAGCTACTCAAGAGGTTGAGATCTGAGGAGTACAGTTTAAAGCCAGCCTGAGCAGGAAAGTCCATGTGACTCATCTCTAACTACCAAAAAACTGTAAGTGGAACTGTGGCCCAAATGACAGAGCACTAGCTAGCCCTGAGCAAAAAGAAAAAGAAAGAATAGCTCAGGACAGTTTCCAGGTCCTGAGTTCAAGCCCTAGGACTGACAAGAGAAATACACACACACACACACACACACACACACACACACACACACACACACCCCTACCATTCAAGGCTGTCTTATTTTTTTCTGTAAATTTATGAATATATATTGTATAACCAACCACATGTGATTAGTCAAAATAAAAGAACAGTGGGGACTCAGATTAGCCTGGAAGACAAGCAGAGATAAAGAAATGGAAACCGGGCTGGGAAGGTGGCTCAGTGGTGGAGCGCTTGCCTTGCATGCCTGAGGCCCTGGGATCGATTCCTCAGCACCACACAAGAAAAAAGAAAAAAGCCGGAAGTGGCACTGTGGCTCAAGTGGTAGAGCGCTAGCCTTGAGCTGAAGAGCTGAGGGACAGCGCCCAGGCCCTGAGTTCAGGCCCCACGACCTGACACCCTCCCCCCCCAAAAAAAAAAGAAATGGAAACCTTCAAATGTGACCTTTCTTTAGCTCCTAGAGTAAGGACTCACATCATGATCTTCTAAGGCTGAAGCAACGTAGATATTAGAAAGGTGTTTATGTTACTGTTTTCTCTCTCAGGTAAAGGATGGGCTTAACAAGAAGCCAGATAAAGGCGAAAATGGAATCAGGTATGAAGATTTCTCTAAAACTTAACTTGCAGCCAGGCACCAGTGGCTACACCCATAATCCTAGCTAGTCAGGAGGCTGAGATCCGAGAATGATGATTTGAAGCCAGCCTGGGTAGACATAACTAGGAGACTCTTATCTCCACTTAACCAGAAAAAAGTCAGACATGAAGGTGTGGTTCAAGTGGTAGAGTGCTAGCTGTGAGGGAAAAAGCCAAGTATAGATGTAGAAATAGGTATACATCACAAAGCTCAACATAAAGGTTGAATTGTTCTGTTCTGTACTTGGGTGCTCACTCTACTGTCTCTTCTCTAAATTGGACAGTGCTACAAACCTTCACTGAGGCTGGGACCTTCTCATCACTAAAGTAGTACAAGAAATCCAAGGTCTTCTACATCCTGTAACACCTAAGGAAGTGGTCCTTAATCACCTGTTCTTGCTGTCTAACACCTGTGTGGTCCTGGGAGGTGGAACCCTGGGAGGTGTAGGCCAGGATGGAAGCGTTGGGATGTAGAACCCCAGGCTAGTAGCCACTTCAGCTGGCACTGGGCACTGTCACTCCAGCCCCATCCAGGTCAAGGTCTCCACCATCTGACAGCCATCGCTTTCAGCTGTCTCTCCATACCACTGGGTTGGGCCATCTCTTCCTACAACCCTTGCCCGCCTTTCCCTATCCCAGTCTCTGAGAAGTAAAGGAAATATGGACTTTCCTTCTCATCCCAAAAGAAGCCCTATCTGGGGATGTCTTCCAGCTACTCAGCAATGTCTGCTGTTGGTCATTTGCCTTTTTAACATGAAAGCTTTCCAAACAAATATCAGAAAGGCCTGGCTGCCTTGGAAGGGAAAAGCATCTCTATCTGTCCCTACCTACTTAATGTCTGTAAACTGGGTAATATTGAAAAAGAACTTAGAACAGTACCTAACTTGTATAAAGTACTAGACTATTTCAGGAACACTCCACTGCGCTCGCAGGTCTGGACCCATCTCTATGGAGAGTCTGTTTTGCTCTCAAATAATTGTCTTAAGCTGGACGCTAGTGGCTCATGCCTGTAATCCTAGCTACTCAGGAGGCTGAGATCTGAGGAGCAGAGTTCAAAGCCAGCCGGGGCAGGAAAGTCTGTGAGACTCTTATTTCTAATTAGCCATCAGAAAATCAGAAGTGGAGCTATGGCTCAAAGTGGTAGAGTGCTAGCCTTGAACAAAAAGAGCTCAGGGACAGCACCCAGGTCCTGAGTTCAAGCCCCAAAATCAACTAAAAAAAAGTCTTTCTTTGATTCTGCTTTCAAATAAGCTTTCTCTATCTGCCTTAAAAATAAATAAAATAAATAAATAAAGTATTCGGCTAAATTATTTATCTTAGGGGAATTGTTATAAGTGCTGAGCAAGGGTGAACCTAAGCTTGCTAACATTCACCTGTAGACTCCAGAAGTTTCTAACAGTCTTTTAAATTCTTTCCAAAAAGTCATCTCAACTTAATGCCTGTTGTATGTCTCATAGCCTAAAATAAGGTATTCCACGGTTCAATTCCAAGTGAGACGATTTTCTATTTCAGATTTGTAAATGCTTTTAACGAGGTAATGAACATCGAAATGAGTGGGAAAGCATATGAAAATATCACGAGTTACAATGCCAGCGAGTATCAGTTCTTTTCTTCTGGCAAGTAAGTACCTGTGTTGGACACACCTCCAGGTTCTAAGATGTCAAGTCTTTATCATTCGAAACTATATCCAGGTTTGTAATACCAAGAATGTTAAACCCGATCATTTTTTCTTTCAATAGGAAAACCTTCACAGTAAGCTCAGCAGAGATTCCACAAGACTGTCCACGTGTCTTTCAGTCTTCCAACCTTGACTTTGGCAGTGCTTTTACTTACGTGATCAGAAGGGAGGTGAGTAACTGGTTGCCATCCATAGACATTCTCTCAGACATCCTGCCAGGGGTCCTCACGACACCGAGAAAAGTAGGATAGGTATTAGAAGTGTAGAATTCATCGAACTCACCATGAATGCTTCAACTTACTGTTGACTTGGATTAACGGTAAAATAAAATATAGCAGTCTGATGTACAATGACAAAGATTTCATGTTGGCCGGTGTCTTGTGTTTCTTTACTGACTAGTAACAAAAATATAGCAACTTATTTAAAGAGATGACAATGTTTTAAACAAAGTGGACTTCCAAGCTACTCTTATTTAAAAGGAAACATTATCCAGACATGGTAATTCATGCCTGTATCCTAACACTCATTATTAAGAGTTCAAGGCCAGCCTAGGTTACACAATGAGGTCCTGCCTTTAAAAAAGAGGAGGGAAGAAAAAGGAAAGGAAAAGGAGATTAAAAAAAAAAAAAGAAGGGAGGGGAAGTGGGTCTGTGGCTCAAGTGGTAGAGCGCTAGCCTTGAGCTGGAATGCTGAGGGACAGCGCCCAGGCCCAGAATTTGAGCCCCATGAGAGAAGAAGGAGGAGGAGGAGGAGGAGAGAGGGAGAGAAGGAAGGAAAGCAAGTAAGCAAGAAGGAAAAAAGGAAAAAAAGGAAAGAAGGAAGGAAGGAAGGAAGGAAGGAAGGAAGGAAGGAAGGAAGGAAGGAAGGAAGGAAGGAGAAGGCAGACTAGTGAACACATTCTCAGCTCCCACTGGGGCTTTCCCATCACGAGTAGAAGGCAATGTTGCATATTTACATTTAAATTATGTACTTCCTTTCTGTGACCATGGAGCAGCCCTAGCGGGGACCTCTATTGGCCTTGTAAAGAATTGTTGTTCTAGAAAGTTTCTCCACATCAGTTTCAACTTGCTGCTTCTTGATGGTTTAGAGTAACGGCTGCCCAGGAGAGCTGGAGTTTGAAGACATCCCCCCCAACACAGTCAGCATGGCTCTGCAGATCCCGCAGTACTTCCTGCTCACCTGCGGCGAGGTGGTCTTCTCCGTCACGGGACTGGAGTTCTCCTATTCCCAGGTCTGTGGTTCCTGTCACCCATGTGCCCCCTTCCCTCTGCCCTGCCCACCTGCAGAAGTCACTGCTGGGGCTCCATCTACATCTGGGATGGCTGTTTATAGTCTTTAAAAACTCTAGAAGGCACTATGGAATCTTCAGAACAAAGTCTCTGAGATCAATGGGGTCTTTACTGACATTCCTGTGCCATGAGCTCTGTGAGAGCTTCTGTCCATGCGTCTGTCCCCAAAATCACACTAACAGTCAGTACTAAGTGGAAAAAAAGCTGGATTCATGTCAGGCTAGAGCATTCTAGATTTTACAGTGAGCAGAGGGGATCAACTCCTCAGCAAAGTGCTTGCTGCCAAGTCTGTGTCTTCAGCTGAGATCTTTGTAGGTCCCAGTAACCACATCGAATAAGGCCTTGCTTTAAGAACAAATTTAAGAAGTCCTGCTTTTAAGTGTGATAGACAAATGAGGCAATTGTTCTGGGGTTTGTTGGGGGTTTTGTTGTTGTTGTTGTTGTTCATTTGTTTTTAGCCAATACTAGGGCTTGAACTCAGAGCCTACCACCCTCGCTTGGCTCTTTTCACTCAAGGCTGGCACTTTTGAGCCACAGCTCTACTTGCAGCTTTTTGCTGGTTAATTGGAGGTTAAGGGTCACTCAGATTTTTTCTGCTTCGAACCTTGATCTGCAGACCTTAGCCTCCTAAGTGGCTAGGTTTACAGGAATAAGCCACTGGTACCTGGGACAATTCTGGATGCCCAGATTAGAGCTTGATTCTTGAACTATTTTGTCAAAACTACATGGATAGTCATTGTGCCCCACAATTTCCAGTACCTGCCATCCTTGTAGGAAAGGTGGTGGATGGGACCTGGTTAATCCTTTCTGTGATGACCACATGGTCTAGCGAAGGCGAGGAAGGCATCCAGGTGACGAGAGCTGGAGGAGGGACACTGGAAACCCAGAAAACCAAGCACAGAAGGGCAGACCTGCAGCTCAGGGAGCAGGCTCCTTTTGCATGAAGGCCATGCATGGCTGGCTGTGCTTGGAAACGCTTTTGGGGAGTGGAGTTGACCTCCCCTTACCAAGAGGAGCACTTGTGGAATGGTGCGTGCTCTGCCGCGGGAGAGTCCAGGTTCTTATCCACGTGATGCCCATCTTCTACTTGGGCATGCCTGGCCTTTGCTATCAGGGGGCTGCGTGGTGGAGTAGTGGAGTAGTAGCTTGGGGGTCAAGCTCCAGATGGTGATTGGCTCTGCTTTGCTCCTCAGGCTCCATCCAACATGAAGTCCGTGCTTCAAGCAGGCTGGCTGCTGACGGTGGCCGTGGGGAACATCATTGTGCTCATCATCGCCGGGGCAGGACACTTCAGTAAACAGGTACAGGGCAGAAGGAGATGGGATGTCCTGCTGCACTGGGAATGGTCATTCCCATGATCCTCTCGGTCTGTCTATGAACACATGGTCTCTTGGTCTAATGGCTGGAGACAATTGCCAGACCTACCAGACAGGGTTTTCACCAGTAGCAATGGAGAAGGGAGTGTCAATTCTAACTTCCACCTGCTGTTGCACAGTTGGAAACTGACAAGTGAAATAACCAGTCTGTGTTGCAGGACATACACCCAGTATAGTTTTCTACCAAAGGAAACACCTCAGCTTGGTGCTGGTGACTCAGGTTTAGGGTCCTAGCTTCTCAGGAGGCTGAGATCTGAAGATTGCAGATAGAAGCCAACCAGGGGAACCAAATCTAAGAGTCATCTCTGATGCATAGCTCAAGTGGTAGAGCCTTGACTGTGAATGAAAAAGCCAAGCAACAGTGCTCTAAGTTCAAGCCCAGTACCAACATAAAACCAAATAAATGAGTAAATATATTTAAAAAGAACATGATATTCATCACATAAAAGACCTAAAGCAGGGAGAATGATGGAAGAAGCTGACACTGACCAAGATGCACTATACTTATACATTGACATGCTGAATTGAAACACTTCTTTTTTTTTTTTTTTTTTGGGTCCAGTCGTGAGGCCTGAACTCTGGGCCTGGGCGCTGTCCCTCAGCTCTTCAGCTCAAGGCTAGCGCTCTACCACTTGAGCCACAGCGCCACTTCCGGCTTTTTTCTTTTTGCTTATGTGGTGCTGAGGAATCGAACCCAGGGCCTTGAGCATGCAATGCAAGCGCTCTACCACTGAGCCACCTTCCCAGCCCTTGAAACACTTCTGTACAATTACGTACACATAATTTTGAAAATAAATTTAATTTTAGAAACAAGAACTCTAAACCAACACACCATCTAGAAACTTTCATGATACCTAAAGTTTAGCCGTAGTGAAGGCTGTTTTCTAGCTATAATAAAATGAAGATGTTTCTGATATTTAAACTTCTAGTCTGAGGCAGACAAGCTCTGCCAGATATGAGTCCATCATCTCAAACTCTTATGGCTTCCCACATCTCATCAGGCCCCAAATGTATGCTAATGCCATGAGTGCATGAACTCACAGTGTTACCAAGGGATGATACAAGATCTGGGTAAAATTCTAGCATATTCCTCTTCCCACAGGGTACTGCTTAAAATTCTCTTGGTCCCACTCCACAGGCATCAGCCTTACTTATTTATTTATGTATTTATTTATTATTTATAGTACTGGGGCTTGAACTCAGTGCTTTACCTCTCACTTGGTTTTTGTGCTCAGGGCTCTACCGCTTGGCCACTTGAGGCCACACCCTCTACTTCTGGCATTTTGCTGATTAACTGAAGTTAAGAGTCTCATGGACTTTTTCTGCCTGTGCTGGCTTTGAACCATGATCCTCAGATCTCAGCCTCTTGAGTAGCTAGGATAATAAGTGTGAACCATCAATGCCTGATCCAGCTACATACCTTTTTTTTTTTTTTCTGGTGCCAGTTGTGGGGCTTGAACTCAGGGGCTGGGCACTGTCCCTGAGCTGCTTCAACTCAAGGTTAATGGCCTACCACTTGAGCCACAGTCCATTTCTGGCTCTTTCTGAGTAGTTTATTGGAGATAAGAGACTCACAGACTTTTCTGCCCAGGCTGGCTTCAAACCACAATCCTCAGATCTCAGCTCCTGAGTAGCTAGGATTACAGGCATGAGCCACCAGTGCCCAGCTCATCTCATCTCATCTTCCCAGAGTCTTATGTTTCTGCATTTCTATGCTGTGAGAAAAATGTTAGCTGTGACTTAGGCATTTGAAAAGAAATGTCCAAGTCTGTCCCTGAACTGATTGCCTGCCCATTTTCAATAATTTTTTTTGGGGGGTCCGATCGTGGGGCCTGAACTCTGGGCCTGGGCGCTGTCCCTCAGCTCTTCAGCTCAAGGCTAGCGCTCTACCACTTGAGCCACAGCGCCACTTCCGACTTTTTTCTTTTTGCTTCTGTGGTGCTGAGGAATAGAACCCAGGGCCTCATGCATGCAAGGCAAGTGCTCTACCGCTGAGCCACCTTCCCACCCTTCAATAATTTTTTAAAGCACTTTCTACCTAGTCATAGCAAGAACATGTTTCTGCAATGCATACTTATGCATGTTCACATGACTTTGCTTTTATTTTCCTTTTTTTTCCCCTTACTTCCCCTTCAAAGTGGGCTGAGTACATTCTATTTGCGGCTTTGCTCCTGGTCGTCTGTGTGATATTTGCCATCATGGCTCGATTCTACACGTATGTCAACCCAGCAGAGATTGAAGCTCAATTTGATGAGGAAAAGAAGAAGAATGCAGAAAACAACAACCTGGGTTCCGCATTGGAGCCTGTCTCCCAGACCAGGATGTGAAGGGCATTTGGCAAGTGCAAAATGAACTGCGCCCAGCCTGGGCCCTGACCTCTGTCCCCAGGTGGCAGGTTGCTCCGCTGAATGAATGGCCTTTGATGGGGAAGACTTATTGTGAACCAAACCAAGAAATCAATTTTATAAGCAGTCATCGACGAATCTAAAACTCTAAAGTCTTTTTTTTAAGTCTTATTTAAAGCTTTTTTTTTTTTTAACACTAACAGCTTATATCTCTCCTGTCATACAAATGAGCTTAGTTTGGACTAACTTAATTTGGAGAGGGCTCCATATTGTTTTTGTTCTAACACTGTGGTGAAAACAATATTGAATGTGGCAGGAGCCAATGCCAAAAATGACCTCACAGGAATAGTAAATACAAGCTAGTAGTAACTGATAAAGATTCCTTTATTTTCCCAATCTCTACCTCTTTTTAAATTATGTATGACTAAAAGCCACACAAGTGAAGGCCAGTCGTAGTTTTTGAAGTTTCACTTGTATGAAATAAAATTCTTGTTCTTAATAATAAGTATCTGTGTATCTTTGAGTAAAAAATCTTTAACATCCTGTCTGGTTATAAAAGCAATATATGTTCATTAATGTTTCATACAAAGTCAATAAAAACATTAACAAGAGCAATGCTCACATAAGTAAACCCCAGGGACATGGAACATCCAAGTTTGTTTCTTCCTGGTCCTGTTTTATTCCTCCCCTGGTGGGGGGGGTAATAAAAATCTATATCTTTTCTTACTAGGATCTTTCTACACTCACATATGTGTATATTTTATAGTATTTTTCCTCAGTACTGATGAGCACTTCCTGCTTGAAGGAAAAGTCCTTCCAAAAGAGTGTAAACCTTCTTACAGATACTTTGCCACTCCTATGCAAACTGGCAATCGTTCTTAGGCAAACTAGTCACAGTGCTGGAGGTCACCTTGGTTCCTGGACTAGGAGGGACAGTCTGTTACTGATGAGCTGTATGCAAACGCAGTATTGCATGTAGAGGCCATGTTGAAGGGGAAGTTTGAAGTCCAGAGTGAGGGACACAAATGTGCTATCAAATCTTGCTCAACACCTTCTGAGGCTTAGGATCATCTCCATTTCCTGACGAGGGCTCCATTTCCTTGGGACATGTTTTATTTCTCTCTACAGACTCTTATCTAATCACCCTTGAACTTCTGTGGCTGGAATATATCAAGTTTTCATTCACAGATCAAAGAGAAAAAAAATCAGATCCTAAGACACATTCTCTATCCATCACCCTCAGCCCCTCCTCTGGGTTAAGCCTCCTTCATTCCCATTTTCAGTTTCCCGTCAATTTTCCCATCTGCCGTCCCTGCAGCATTTGGTGACATTCTGAGCCTCCACACTTCAACACAACATTTCAGACCTCACTGTGGAGTCACAGTTGAGCTCGCCGAGACTGCAAGCACTATGTGAATCTTGTTCACTGACCCCCAGAACAGGATAATCTTCTTTAAACATTGTGTGCTATCAGGAGATGGAAATAGATTTCATCTGAACAAATTACTGGCATTCAATCAGAACATGACTGAATGAGCCTAATCACAAACTCCAATATAAAAGACTAGACCTAGGGCGACATTGTCCAAAAAGAAATGTACTCTTTACCTTACTTATGTAACTGTAACCCCTCTGTCCGTCACCTTTATACCAATAAAAAAAATATTTTTAGGGCAGGGAATGCGGCTTAGTGGTAAAGTGTTTGCCTAGCATGCATGAGGCCCTAGATTTGATTCCTTGGTACCACATAAAATTAATAAAATGAAAGGAAAAATAACCATTAAAAATTATTTTTTAAAAATTTATTTTAGGCTGGGAAGGTGGCTCAGTGGTAGAGTGCTTGCCTTGCATGCATGAGGCCCTGGGTTCGATTCCTCAGCACCATGTAAGCAAAAAGAAAAAAGCCGGAAATGGCGCTGTGGCTCAAGTGGTAGAGCGCTAGCCTTGAGCTGAAGAGCTGAGGGACAGCGCCCAGGCCCAGAGTTCAGGCCTCACGACCAGACCCAAAAAAAAAAAAAATTATTTTAAGACTAGACCAAGGGGGTCACTAATCTTGTCACTCTAGTGGCTTCCATTCCCTGATTAACATTTTGTGCCTTTGATAGTGAAAAACAATAGTTACAGTACCAGCCCTCAATTTCCACTGCCTCACTCTTGACAGTAATTGAAAGAGCTAAAGCTGAATCCTGAAGCCCAACTTGTTTTGTAGCTCTTCAGTAACTGTGGAAACCTTTGACCTTTTAGATGCCCTTTCTTTTGTGAGATAGAACCCCAGACCATCAGAGGCCTTTGAAGTCCTTTGTGTGAGGGTTCCTGGCACACAGTGAACTTCCAGATCATCTGAGTGAGCCAAACCTGATATTAACATGGCAGCCAGCTTTGCTGCGGTGGATTGAGATGACACCTTTTGAAGGGCATGAGCAGGGAAAGAGGGGAGCTTGGGAACCTTGTGCCTCTGGCTCTTCCAAGACTGACAGATGCCTGTATTGGTGTTCTGCTCACAAGGCCTTGAATACTACCCTTTGCCATAAGTAGGATGACAAAAGGGAACACACAGGCGTTGTCAATAACCTCTGCTCTTCTGCCCTTTCCTAGCAGTTTTCCATTTTGTTTTGGTTTTCTTTTCATCCATCTCTTAACTCTAGGCTGATGGGTGTCTGCACTGACTGGTGGACCCTTGCTTGAACACTAACTCACTGACTTAGCACTTTCTTGCATGGTGCTAGGGACAGAGTCCCCTGGAACAGACTGGATAGCTGAGATCTAAAGATCTTCCTATCCTCAGAAGTATTTCCAGTATAACTATGAATTCATTTCCATGCCACGCTGACTTTCCTCTGGACTACCTGATCCTGTTTTATCACTTTGTGGATGTTATTTATTTCAGGATACTTTGAGTTTCTTTTAAAATTTATGAAGGCACTTCAGAACATGGATGTTCAAGTTTGCCCCTGGTTGACTAGTTTATCTATAAAATTTGTCTTGGATTCTGAAATTTCTTTTTCTTGTGACACTAGGTGTTGAACTCAGAGTCTCACACTTGCTGGGCAGGTATTCTACCATTTGAGCCAGGCCTCCAGCCTCCAATTTTTTCTATACTCTTTAATGACAAACAACAGTGTTCATCATATACTGACTGTTGGGTGTGAACATGTAGAATGCTCAGCCCTCCCCTGAATTACATGGATAAAGGTGCCATCTCTGATTATTCCCATTCCACATAGGGTGACCGGCCCAGGGCTCCCCAACAGTCCAACTCTACAGGTCAGACTCAGCCATATCAGCTGCCTCTGCCCACCAGCGTTAATCAGCCATGTAGAATACCTCATCCTACTCCTTATAACTACAGGAGGAAGGTTTTATGGCCCTCATTAGAGGTAAGGAAATGCGGGAAGCCAACTGAGTAACTTACCCGGGACTTTATATCCAGCATTGACTATATCAGTATTTGAACCCCAGTATGCGTGAAGTAAGAGCAGGACCTGCCTCAATGCCATTAGGCTATTGAGTCAACTTCCACATGCCAGGAAGAAAACCTGGGATGGCCAAAGCCATGGGAATGGGGGGAAACAAAGCAAAGAGGGGGCTGGGCCTCCAGCATGGACCACACCCTGAGACAGAAGAGAAACCAGGAAATTTCAACTTCCTTCCCCATCTTAAAGGGAGCAAGGGTCCTGTGAGGATGGTACGGGAAAATTCTAGATTCTTCGTCTCCCTCCTCATGGAGGGAGATTGATGGATGATTGGATGGACATCCTAAGTGCCAAGAGCTGTCTCAAGGTGACTCCCTCAACCAGGTCACAGCCCTGAGCTCACCAGCAGAGGGCAGTGTTGCCTGGAGGGGGGAGTGACAGTGAGACCTCAGGAGGACAGGCCACCGTGCTGCAGAGAAGGAAGTCAGCCAGGACCCTTCAGGGGTCCCAGCTCAGGACAGCCAGAAATGCCCAGGCTCTTCCATTATTCCTCCTCAGTCACTGAGGAGGAAAAAAAAATAGCATTCTTAAGCGTAGCAGTGAGTGACATGAACTACATTCACACGGTTGTACCATAGTCTCCAGCGGCCCTCTGGAAAAACAGAAGAGCAATTCTCCTTCCACTCGCTTGTCTCCTGTGATGCCCAGCTCTTGGGGGCTTTCTAGAGAGCAGCCTGGATCATGGCCTTGTCTCAACCCTGATCAAAGGCCATAAATGGAGAGACCTGGCCTCTCCTCCTCCCCCCCCCCCCCACCACACACACACCCCTGCAATGCCCTGGCCACCACTGAGGCTGCAGGGAGGGAAGGAGGCTTTCCACGGGCCTCACTGAGGCTGCAGGGAAGGAAGGAGGCTTTCCACGGGCCTCCCAGCACTGGCCTTGGGCCGCCTCTGGCAGCATTCGATGTCTTGTCTGCTTCCGTCTCATGAGACTGCTCAGCTCCGTGGCTGTGTTTAAAGGCAGAAGGAACAGGAACTGAAGCTGGTAGGTTGCTATTCTGGTGCCTGGCACAAAGAGCCACAGGTTTCTTAGGACTTGGTGCAAAGGCCCTAGGAGCTGCGTGCTGGGAGCAGAGGACCGGAGCAAGTGGACGGCAGGCCCGGCCTGGGCAGAGTTCCTCCTGAACCCTGCAGCCCCCAACACCCCAGGACAGCAAGGAGAAGGGAACTCAGGCCAGGCATTACAGACCCCAGCTGACGTGTGGTAGGCAGCAGAGGAACCAACAGCTCTTTCTCCAAGTTGTGACTTTGGGTAGAAATGGTTCTCAGTCTCCAGCACCCCCTTATGGTCACCCCTGAGCTTTGTCTCTGGTAAGATGGACCCCAGTTAGACCCACCTGCCACAAAACTGACTTTCAGAAAGACTAACCTTTATGGAGACTGACCTTTAGTTAGACTGACCTGCAATAAGACTGACTTTAGCAAGAGTGACCTTCAGCAAGACTGAGCTTCAGCAAGTCTGACCTTCAAAAGGACTAACCTGTAGCAAGATCAAACTCCAGTAAATCCTTAGTCTTACTAGGATCTCTGATCAGGTTTGCAAACCGAGAAGAGATTCAGGATAGGCCATGCTCAGCCTCCAAAAGCTGCCGCCCAGATGTGTCCAAGAATTATTCACTAAGGATCCACAGCAGGCATCCAAGGAGGGGAAGCAAGAATGAGCAAAAGCGTAAGAGTGTGTGTGTGTGTGTGTGTGTGTGTGTGTGTGTGTGTGTGGTGCGCACCCATGCACCCTGAATTGCTAACAGGAAACATGCAACAAGTGAAGCAAATGAAATCACGAGTGAAGTTACGGGAGGGTGGGACTCAGTTGCAGTAAGTAGCGATCCTGGATGTGTGGGGCGTGGAAGAGAGTGGGGTGCGAGGACTTCCTGCCAGAAAGATCTGGAAGTGGCCCAGGCAAGTGGGGCTCTGGGCAGGGAATGAGGAACTTGGGAGTGAGTTGCCTGCAGGTGGTTGGGGCAGGGACG